TACCTATTTTAAAAGTAGAGATGGGTCTAAATCGACCACATAGAACACATTTCTGACAAGTATCCCCCCTAGTGTCAAATATCTGAAATGTGACATATATGTCACATTGAGCTCTAATGGTAAAGTAACACTTATTTATAACTTAATTAATGAGGATGATTTTTTGTTCTAAATTAGTTTGAACATACTTTGAATTGAAGAATAAAGAATATATTAACTAAATATAATTGAATCTGCTAAATTAACTGAGCAGATTATATTCATATTTCTAATTGTGCATATATGTCACTCCGGGTTTACTGTGAAAGTTTAAGGTTAATGTCCCGATGTAACATCAGTGTCACAGCGATATTGATCTCATTTGTTTCATATCAATTTGATCAAGAAATGTTTCCACAACAGGTTAAATGTAATAAAGGACATGTTATGTAAGCATTTACATTCTTAAATGGCTTGAATTTTACCTTTAACAACAAAAAAAAGCTTTTGAAATGTAGATAGTTCTGTCACATGTGTTAGCCTGGCACATGGACATCTCGGACATGTTGTTATGACCCACTAGACTGTTCAGGGTGTGTCACTTAGGGACTACATGAGATAAAAACAAGGCTAAAGCTGTATAAGGAACTTTACAGAACATTTAAATGTCATGTGACCAGTGGCGACTCGTCATTAGGGGCAGGTGGCACAGCCCCACCTAGTGTCAGCAGAAAGTAAATACAATAATAATTAAAAAAATATGCAAAAAAGTCAATCTTAAAATATATTAAATATGTTTTAGTCTGCGTTCTTCTAATTAGAGTTTTCAAGTCTTATAGATGTTGAAAGAAACTCCACCACGTGACAGGATTCTTGGAAACAGGGTGCAGTGAAGAGTTATTCACCTGCTGTAATGAAGTCTGAACATGAACCTTAACCCATATTCGGTTATTAATATTAAGCACCCCGGGCCCTTAGTAATATTTACCATCACTATCTGGGAAGGTAAAGTTAATATCTTAGACCTTGTTATCCAATTGGTAGCCATAATAACAGCACATCAACATGTGCATGCAGGATTTCCCCACAATTGATATTTGAAATGTCTTTTCTTTATTGAAGTTAATAAAACCTTATTATCAACCAGTGTTTTTTTTTTACAGACAATATTATAAATGTTTCAATCACAAACTCTCACCACACAACAGTCCTTTCCTTGTTTCTATTTTCCCATTGGCTTGCCCACCACAAGATAGTGCTGTTGCCCATTTTTGCATGTCGACTAACATTTTGTGATGTCTGACGTTACTTCTGTGAGAAAAAACCTCAGAGGTGTTAGACATGTCTGCTTTTAGAGCTCTGTGAAATCAGTCGGATCAGGAAGTGGTTTTTATAAAAAGATATGTTTGGGTGACAAGTTCTTTTCTCTCTTCCTCTAAATGCAATACATCATGTAGAACTAGGAGAGTTTTGCAAAATTGAATTTAAATTCTTCAAACATTATATTTGATTGTCTCCTAAATATTCTGATAAAGATATACTTAAGTCAAATGTTATTCTGCCTGTTGAACTGTTTCTGTAGAAGAGCAGAACTTTGTCACGACAAGTTTTAAATTCAAAATAGGAACCAACCACAGTTCGATCAACCACAATTAGGCACAGTACTGCTTGAGGCACGGCATCAGCAGGGAGAAACCCAGAGAGACCAAAGTGTCAGGGGCGGATCTACCGGGGTGGCATGGGGTGGCAACTGCCACCCTAAACAATAGCCTTGCCACCCCAGCTGCCACCCCAGTTGGCATCTTTGTTTTGAAAGAAAAGTTGTGGCTCATCGGACATTTATGAGAGAAAGTCTCTAATGTCCGAGTGCAAGTGAATGCAGCACATTATGCACGTCATGTAACCCCTCCCCCGGTCCTGGCGCGAGAGTGGAAATATGATTGGTGGCGAATTCACTTGAACGGGGGACGGCGCAAAACGAGAAGCCTTTTGGACCCCAAGCACTGAAGGAATGAGGTAGTTGCGGTCTACAATGACAGAGAAGAGAATGTCAAGTTTGGCTGTACTCAGCATTGAATCAAAACGCACTACAGCTGTTGATCTTAATAAGTTTGTGAGGCGTTTTGCTGAACAAAATAGTAATCGCCGCATTCAGCTGTAATAGACATGCCAACTTGATGCTCTGCTCACGGATGACTCGATGAGAATTCTTTCACACACACATACGGGTTTTGGGCCGAGGGCGACACCGTACTTCCGGTATCAACCATTTCACGCGAGGTGCATACAGAATATCATAGTCGATTGCCTTAATCAATATAGTCAACTCTAAAATACCACATATATGCATTGGCATGATAATATTATTGTGACAAGTGGGGTATTCACCTGGTGTTTCCAGAAGATAGACGTAGATGCTGCCAAAATCGACCGAAGGCCACTTTTGAGGGTCGTAATTCCATACATTGTACATCCAACAACCCACACAGCTCTAGTTTACGCTGGTAACGACCTAGAGCACACCCCTCAAGTCCAGAGATGTAATCCGAAGACATGCAGCGATTTATTCGGTCGTTAATTCAGAAAAAAAACCTAGTGCGCTCTACCTGGCAACGTTAGCTAGCTGTTTATATTAGCATCTCCAGGATTTTTGCACCTCCAGAAAAATGGCGTCTTTATAAAAAAATATATGGCGCGCGTTGCATTGTGGGTAGCTGTGACGTCACTGTGTGTGAAAGAATAACAAACTGTTAAGATGATGACCTTGTATGTGTGTATATATTTTTTTCTTTGAGGGGGTCTGCCCCCAAAAAACAGTTTTAAGTCCTGAGAAAGTAAAATAAGACGGTGTGTAAAACTACACTGCCCAGCCAACAGAAAGTAACCACTTTGATTTAACTAGGCCAGTAGGTAAGGACCTTCCACTGGATAATAACTGCAGCGATGTTTTAGCTGAATACACGTTTTTTAACCCTAACTGATGCAGTTAGTCACGTCTTTAATGTTTGTTCTTTCTGATGTAAAGTCAAGGTTGTAACTGTATATCAATAATGATATAATTACTTGTTTTTCAAATTTGAAGGAGGGTGAGCAAGCATCTTGATGAACATTCATCATTAACTCCTCCAAAAAATATAGTTTATTCAATAATAAATGAATATGTGAATCATAACAGTTCTTCACTATATCTGTAAAGCGTCTTTGAGCACCTGTAAAAACGCTAACAAATTAAATCTATTATTATTATTATTATTATTTATTAACAGTGATTGACAGCTGATAGGAATAATATGATTGTTAATAGTATCATATTCATCCAGACAAACATCGATGAGACAGTTAATTAATGTACTTATTGCAGCAGTCTGCATAGATTTGGTACCCCTGCTGGTCTAAGAGTGAAACAAACTCATTCAGTTATTGTTCAGTTAAAATTCATTAAATTACGTCTGCCACCTTATATGTAAGGCTTTACTGATGTGCCACAATAATATCACCTATGTGATTGAGTTAAAATATTAATATTGTGGCTTTCCAAGTTAACATTGATTGTAGGGGTGTAACGGTTCACAAACATTTCGGTTCGGTACGTACCTCAGTTTTTAGGTCACGGTTCGGTTCGGTACGTTTTCGGTACAGCAGAAAAAATTATCACAAAACATTAAATATTTTTTTAAAATTATTATTAAACTGTGACTAATGTATTCAAATAAATACAAAATATAGTAAAATAAACATTAAGGTGCAGCATTTCGATGAACTGAAATAATCTGTATTTGAACTGTACTAGTACCGAAGCAGCCAGCTTGACATTAGGACTTGCTTGTCATTGTATTTTCATGTTGTTTAAAGAAAGATGAACTTGTCCACATTGCTTGCTGAAAGGGCAGATCTGCTGGCACTAACAATGTCTCCTGCTGTGGAGAACACCCTCTCGCTCGGGACAGAGGTAGCAGATACAGCCAGGTAGCGCTTTGCTAACATGGCAACATAAGGATATTTGGCGTTTGTAATAGCTTTGGCTCGGTCTGAACTCTTTGCGAGTGGTGGAGGCTTAAATGCTAGTGGGAGTTGGGTTTGCACTTCAGTCTTTTTTCTTTTGGTACCGGTGATATTCACATTCGGGTGATGCCTTTTCAAATGAGTGTGATGTATTGCCAGCCGCGTAACCAATGTTAGTTGAACAATGCCGACAAACAGCTTTGGTTCGGTCCACCTGTCTTTGTCCTTCATCCTTGTACGTAACTGTGAAACCAAAATGTTCCCAAACCGGAGACTTCAATGATGCTGGAGGATTTTCAGCTCAACTTTATCTGCGTTCGCCATTTCGACAGTTCCTCAAATTACTGACTACATTTTAACGCATCCCTGTGACCAGCTCTCATAGTATGCCTCTCGTCCAATGAAATGACTTGGTCTCTCTATGATATAGATTACTTCCAGAAAGTTGTTCATGTTCTCAATTTTTTACGTTTAACGCTATATTCGTTCGGTACACACGTGTACCGAACCGAAGGGCCCGTACCGAATAATTTCAGTACGTGTACCGTTACACCCCTAATTGATTGATATGATTGCGATTTAAATCAGCATATACTTCTGTCAGGGGATGCCACCCCTCAAAATCTCCTGCCACCCTCTTGCCACACCATGAATATTTGTCTAGATCCGCCCCTGCAAAGTGTTAACATTAAATGAAACAAAAACTACTTTTCTTGCAAAAAAAGAAAATACAAAGAAAGAGTGGACAAAGTAAGACAATCTCCTGTTAAAGTTTGGGCGTGATAAAAAATGCTATCATATATACATAAACCAGGGTCTTTTAACAACTCAACTGAGTTCTATAAATACATATTTTTTTACTAAACACTATGAATCTTTTCAACTAAACACTGTATTTTTAAGGCTGGAAAGTTATTTCATAATCAGGTGACAAAATGAATGATCACTGTGTTAAATAAACTGACCAGAAATGTATTAGAGAAATGAAATATATATTTATTTAAACATCGAATAAATAAGTGAATTATGAAAGTCAACTTAAATCAACATATCAATTGTTACAATTAGAATCATACATACATTGACAGATGTCTTTTACAATTATTTATCTGCTCAATTTCATGTGATGCATGTCATTTTTGACAAGACCTTCATTAAAAGGCAGGCTTTACTGATGAATACCATTCTTGGGATTTCACATTATGCAAAACATTTTAGAACGCACCAAAGTGGTGGACTGCACAATAAAAGGAATGACATTGCCATCTTCAGAGCCACCATTCCACTAGACTCTAGAGAAACTACTAATCTGATGCTAGCAGGTTCTTGTGTTTACAGCCAAGGGGGCCACCACATGCATGACAAAAGTGTTTTTGCTGGTGAAAATTCTGGTTTTGCTAACTGTACATTTCATAAATGGCATGGTTTTTGAGATTATGTCAGAGTTGTAGCAACTCCAAATGTTTGCAGCAGACTGTGAACTTTCCGTAGTGACGTGCAGACCTCTTTCTCTTGCATGGGTGGTTTCTGTGGAGAATGCTCGATGATCATCATTTTCCTTCATGCTTCATGTTTCATTCATCAAAGGTGCTTTGGTTAAGATAGGCCATCATTTAAGGTGTAATGGTGTTTATGTTAAGTCATGGATGTCTGTTTTGTGTTGCAGAGACATAAGAAGTGGTACTGCTCCAACTTGTAAATATTACATTCATGGAGGTATGGGACGGGCGATCTTCTGTTAGCAGATTACTAAACTTTCTGTTACTGCCATCGCAAAAATGTTCTCAATTTAACTTAGGTCTGTACTGGGGTTTTTGCCCGTCGAATCCAAGCCAGCACAGCAGCTAACTTAAGCTCCGTCCCCCAGAGCCACTCTACATAATAGAGATAAAATACTGTACTTCCTTTTAGCAGGTGGCGTGGTATTAAACATTGTGCCTTTTAAAGTAAAATGTAGCTGCTTTTGGTGAATAAAACTCCATTGTTTCCCAGCGTGGTAAATACTGTACCTGGTATCTTTCTCTGATTGCTGAGCTTAAAACACATTTAAATTCGATGTGTTGGACATGAAAGCTGCATGAACACAACATCTCCATCCTAAAATTGTGCAAGTATTGACATATTTTCAATCATTTGTGCAATCTTTGCAATCCTCTGAACACATTATGCGCAGCCTCACAATGTTCATATTAAGGCCTTAACTCACTGAAAGTTGAATTTTTAGGTACACCATAAAGTGTCCAAACACGCACCAAATGTCCTAAGAATTATGCCTTGAACGGCATGATGCACCTACTTCCAACTAATTTCAGATTTGTTGCGTCAAATGAGGACCCAACAACCCAAACCTTTGAAGGAGCTAAAAGGCCAATGGCAATGAGGACTATATACTATTAGACATAAACTGTTAATACAACTGACACTTCAACTTTAAAAAAACTGACTGAAGGTCACATAAGCTGTCACTACCTACATAAATTCAACACAGTCTCACTCCCTGCGCGTCAAAAGACGACGCTTGGTCAGGTTCCTTTGGCGTCCATTTCTAACAAACAAGCGGCGTCCTTTGACGCGCAGGGAGTGAGACTGTGTTGGTCAATTATGGAGGAAGTGACAACTACTGCATATACAAAATAAAACGTCTTTGTTATGAGGTAGGCCACTAACGAACATCAGTGAGTGTATTAAGTGCTTTTTAGTCCTAAAAAACGACTCCAACAGAGTGATACAGTCTTGTATCTGCCGTAATGCAACATGGCTGTACCGTGCAACACTGCTATGCAGTTGCAGGGTGTAACAGTCTTTGATTTGCTAAGCACAGTCAGAAGTATTCATAGAACGATATGATCTCCATGCTTCTGAAAGCTGGTTAGGGTTTTGCAGTATTGTTGTAATGACAGAAGTCCAGTAACAGTTGCTTGTCCCATCAGGAATCAATCCCTGTGCCCTGAACAAATCACCACGAGGAGGATCAGTCAGTTGTAATCCCATATGCTTCATACACATTCCCACATACACGTCTTCAATGTAAACAGCTCTAACATGTGCAGATGCCTCCAGTATCTTCTTGGGTAAATCCAGTGAGAACACATAGCCCAGTCCCAAGGTATACGGTGGGTATCTGGACCCAGAGAAGGCAGAATAGGGCAAAAACCACTTCGATGTACGGTCTCTTATAACAATAGCATTCCTCGCAACCATTCCTGTCATGTAAAGTTGTTTGGGGGCTTTCAAAAGCAAGTCAACAAGGTTGTGGACATTGAGGAACATGTCCGAGTCTATCTTCATGGCATAGGGGGTGTTGGGGCAATGGGAGCCAAGCCATTCGAACATGACCATGGTTTTAATGGTGAGGTTATTATAGCTGTCCAAAAAGTCACTCTGGAGAATATCATGATGTCTCTGGCTTTCCTCTAACACCTACAGAGGGGGACATAGGAGACACAGTTTAAAATTAGTTAAACTTAGTCAAACTGTTATTGTTTTACATATCCAGCAGATACAGAGCAACATTAGCCGCTTTCACTTAGTGCCCGGCACTTAGTACCCCCATGGAACAAAGTACAGATCGCGTTCACACCGGAATAAGTTCCCTGAGGGAAGAGTACGCAAATGAAGCCGCTGACGTCACTTCGTCTTCTTCTGCTTTGGGTTTACTGGCAGGCCGCAAACCACTTCACGGTGTATACTGCCACCCGAAGTCCCCGCAGTTGGGGACTGGCTTCAGTATAAGCTGCTGGGACTTTGTATATGCAGTAGCTTCTAATGCTAATGCCAGCAAATACAATGGCGGCTTCACAAAACTTTTCAGAGTTTTACGGGGCGTGGTTTGTAATTCGCCCAGCCAATCGAAATTGGTACTTTTTTCTCCCCAGGATAGTACCACCTCTCTAGCAGGCACTACTAATGGGGGTAAAAGTTCTCGGAACTAAGTACTTTTTTTGGTGTGAACGCAAAATTCCAGGCACTAACGGAACTAAACGGGAAAAGTATGGGGAAAAGTACTCCGGTGTGAACACGCCTAATAGCATTCATTTGGAGTTGTGTTGCTGGTGAGCTGTTGAAGGTAAGTCAATATTCCCTCTCTTTTCAGCTGTGGTATTCTAGTCTTTGTACACTAATCTCTACAGATATCTGAATATAATTGCAAATTATGGCTTATATGACACAATTACTGGACATAAAATGTACTGTTTTCACTGTTTTCACGCGCACATGTAAATAATATGTACACATGACCAAATATTTATATATCCATCCATCCATCCATCCATCTTCTCCCGCTTATCCGTGGTCGGGTCGCAGGGGTAGCAGTTCCAGCAGAGAGCCGCAAACTTTATTTTCCCTGGCGACATCAACCAGCTCTGACTGGGGGATCCCAAGGCGCTCCCAGGCCAGCGAAGAGATATAATCTCTCCGCCTGGTCCTAGGTCTACCCCTTGGTCTCTTCCCAGCTGGACGTGCCTGGAACACCTCCCTAGGGAGGCGCCCATTCGGGCATCCTAACTAGGTGCCCGAACCACCTCAACTGGCTCCTTTCGACGCGAAGGAGGAGCGGTTCAACTCCGAGACCCTCCCGGATGACTGAACTTCTCACCTTATCCCTAAGGGAGACACCAGCCACCCTGCGGAGAAAACCCATCTCGACCGCTTGTATCCGCGATCTCGTTCTTTCGGTCATGACCCATCCTTCATGACCATAGGTGACGGTAGGAACGAAAATGGCCCGGTAGACAGAGAGCTTTGCCTTCTGGCTCAGCTCCCTTTTCTTCACAACGGTGCGGTAAAGCGACTGCAGTACCGCTCCCGCTGCTCCGATTCTCCGGCCCATCTCATGCTCCATTGTTCCCTCACTCGAGAACAAGACCCTGAGATACTTGAACTCTTTCACTTGGGGTAAGGACTCATTCCCTACTTGGAGTGCATCGGTTTCCTGCTGAGAACCATGGCCTCAGATTTGGAGGTGCTAATCCTCATCCCAGCCGCTTCACACTCGGTTGCGAACCGATATATATACTGTATATCTATATCTATATATATTTATATATGTTCATTTTAATTCATTTCTTATTTTATAGTTATTTATCATTTTAAATTGTTATCTTTGATTTTATCCTCAATTGTATTAATCTGTGCTCTCCTGTTTTTCAATTGTACCCTGTTGCTGTTAAACTACTGAATTTCCCCACGGGGATTAATAAAGGTCCATCTTATATGTTGTCAGACCTCACATTAGACAATTTGTTTCGAGATCAATAATAGAAATGCAGTTTGATTTTATACCAATAAACACCTGTAATGCTCTTTCCCTCTGTTCTTATAAGGTACAGTCTTATGTGGTTGAAAGGGATAGGAAAAGGGAAATCAGGCACTTGTAATGAGTCAGCTCACTTGCTCCTTGGGGGTTGCAGTTCCGTATTCCTCTTTGGACAGTCCCAGCAGGAAGTAGTGGCTCACGACCTGACCCAGCACTGTGGTTTCTCTCCCCCATGTGTTACGGATTGTGTCACGGGCCTCTCTGTTGTGGGATGCGACTGGAATCACAAGGACTAAGAATGGGCTTTCCTGCAAACATCTATGGGGTTCGTCCAATATGAATCGATACCTGTGCGGGTAAGGCACAAAGTACGCTGAAGGATCCTCTGGTGGTGAAGTCTGTAAGCAGAGAAGGTTCTTGTTATTTTTTTTTATGATGATGCAACTCAATAGAACATGATTTATCATATTATTTCTTTTTTTTCTTCTGCATTCATATTAAAAGACAACTAAGGCAGTATAAAGATTTGTTAAGACAAACAAAATCTACTCTTTGGACCCTTTTCTTTGCAAATGCCGGCTCAAAAGATAGTTTTGCGTTCTGTTTGAACACACCATTAAACATCATAATGAAAATCTCTTGCATTGACACAAAATATCTTGTATTGACACAAAATAGCAGCCCATAATTAACTTTTAGAAATATATTTTTTTTTCCTGGGAAAAAATGTGTTGTGTATATGAGTTTTTCTTTGCCTCAATCATTTTGACAGTTGACTAAATATACTCACGCTGTCATCGTCGTAAGATTGGCTTGACCTTAACCTCGAAATGTAGAAAGTTAACATAAACGTTCCCAACATCAGGATTGTCAAAACACACCACCGTTTAGCTCTTGTCCATGGAGTTTTTTCACTGCAAGAACAAAAGTGAAAATTGATATCTTTAATGACTCTTATATGCAAACCAAAAGCACTTCACCATCCATTAGTGGGTTGGAGTGAGAAAGCACTGCCAACATGTTCTTCCTTGACCATTAATGCTATGATTTATGTGTAACTGGAGAACTGAAGAAAACAATAACTCTTCATTGTAAAATGTATGTAAACACATAGCACATATTGATGTGTACAGTAGGTTATTATACTGAACACGTTTTACAACATTTTGTATATTCATACAACATATACAGCAATCATAAGCAGAATAAGAGTCGTCAAAATCCCATTTGCCACAGGCTGAATGTGAGACCCTGACACCTCTATCAGCATTTAGCGTAAGATCGGAACAAGATGAAATCATACTATAATAAAGTCATCATGCTATGAGATTAGTAGAAATTATAAAGAAACAAACCCTTCACAAATTAGTTTTTTTAAAGAGGACATATTATGCTCATTTTCAGGTTCATATTTGATTTTGTGCTCCCACTGTGACACGTTTCCATGTTTTAATGTTCAAAAAGCTCTTTATCCAAAACATAGACCAAGCTAAGGCCAAACTACACTCCTAGCTAAAAATGTCACATCCTTTTTGTATCATATCCGCAGTGAAATGTTTTACTATTGTGTGGGAGAGAAACTGTGTAATTTAAGCCATTTCAGAGCATTTACATGCACAAAAACCTATATAACAAAGGAAAGGGAAAACCCTAATAAGCATAATAGGGCATATTTTTCTACATGGTTCCCTGTCTTCATTTATTAACATAATTAATTCAATGAAGCCTATCAGTAATTTATGAAAAGGCAACATTATCTTTTAACGATGAAACAGCAGGAAGAAACACTTTATAACTCAAATTGTTCCTCTGCGATACATTTTCTTTAATTTAAAAGTGTTGATGGTCATTTTCCTGTCACATGACTTTTGTTAGTGTGTTTTTTAAGGTGAACTGAATTTGTGTTAAGTCAGAGACGAGCTTTACATAATCTACAGCAACAAAACTGTTCTACATTACAACATAGAAGTAAACTCTTACATAAATCATTCTCTCATGACATAAAGCTGTCATTAGGGTTAAAAACATGTCGTGGGTGTTTCCATTTAATACTTTAAGCTACAGTATGTCTCTAGCTATGTAGGCTACAGGTTATAACCAGTAGCGTGGCGTGCGAAAAAAATTAGGGGAAGCCAATAATACGTCCTTTCTTTTGGGTCGGGGGTGTGGTGGTCAATGTAATAATGTAAGAGTGATTACAGCACCCGGTATCAGCGGCGCCGGATTCATTTCAGAAATGGGGGGGGGGGGGGGGGCAAAAAGTGCGTGTGTATGTGACATAGCCTACTTGCCAACCCTCCCGATTTTCGCGGGAGACTCCCGTTTTCCTCCCGGGGTCATATTTATCCCGCATTTCTCCCGATTTCTGACTAAATCTGATTTGTTTCATTCTAACATAACGCACCAAATGTTACTGTTTCCACTCGGACTTCAATACAGCTACACCATTGTTTGGTTTCCATGGTAACGTGTCTCTTTAGCGAGCAAATGAAAGTCTGAGAGGGTCTTCAGGAGGAAGATAGTCAGAGAAAACAGAACAAGAATGGACAACTCAACCCTCTGCTCACTCCTTTCCTGTAAATTAAACTATACAGACCAGCCCACATATGACAGCGCAGTTGCTCATTCCATATCTTCTTTTTTCCTGCTACGCTCTTGTTTGACAAGCTGAATGTTGACTGGTGTTTGACTGAAGTAAGCGCTGTGTTATTAACTCGGTAGGCCTATTTACAAAGCTGTCATCTCCACATTTGGAGAAAGTTACAAGCCGTTTGACTGCAGCACATCTGCATATTTCACAGAAGGCTCGTTTAGTGGTTTTGCAAATAATTAACCACTCTCTGTTTTTGTACCATTCTGCATTGAAGTACCTTCTCTTTGCCCAAATAAGCTTTTATTTGCCCGTCACAATGTCCCGACAACAAACCTCCATGCAGTCGGAACCAGCCTGTTTCGGTTCAACGATGCCGGCGGCGGAGGTTTTGACAGCCTCTGCGGCCGCAGAGCTGCTGCTGGGGTTCATCTGGCTGCGCTGGTTCTATGGTTGAAGGACCAGGCTCCGGAGTTGTGGATGTCAGGGATGTGACATTCAAGTTGTTGAATTTCAGCTTAGTTTGACTGTATTTTGTTTTATTATGCGCCGGTTCTTCTGACATGTTTGCAAGTTTATCTATAGGTTAACGGCTGACACATACAGAACAACGTAACACATGAACACATATAAGCTTTGTTATTGGTTGTAATGTAGGCCTACGGATACATTTGAATGGTGTGACAATGTCCTATTTGATTGGATTAAAATGTACATATTCTTCCTGTTATGTCTGCCTGCTGTATTTTACCTAATGTAAAGTGACCTTCCATCCATCCATCTTCTCCCGCTTATCCGTGGTCGGGTCGCGGGGGTAGTAGTTCCAGCAGAGAGCCCCAAACTTTCTTTTCCCTGGCGACATCAACCAGCTCTGACTGGGGGATCCCAAGGCGCTCCCAGGCCAGTGAAGAGATATAATCCCTCCACCTGGTCCTAGGTCTACCCCTTGGTCTCTTCCCAGCTGGACGTGCCTGGAACACCTCCCTAGGGAGGCGCCCAGGTGGCATCCTAACTAGGTGCCCGAACCACCTCAACTGGCTCCTTTCGACGCGAAGGAGGAGCGGCTCAACTCCGAGTCCCTCCCTGATGACCGAACTTCTCACCTTATCCCTAAGGGAGACACCAGCCACCCTGCGGAGAAAACCCATCTCGGCCGCTTGTATCCGCGATCTCGTTCTTTCGGTCATGACCCATCCTTCATGACCATAGGTGAGGGTAGGAACGAAAATGGCCCGGTAGACAGAGAGCTTTGCCTTCTGGCTCATCTCCCTTTTCGTCACAACGGTGCGGTAAAGCGACTGCAGTACCGCTCCCGCTGCTCCGATTCTCCGGCCCATCTCACGCTCCATTGTTCCCTCACTCGAGAACAAGACCCCGAGATACTTGAACTCCTTCACTTGGGGTAAGGACTCATTCCCTACTTGAAGTGGACAGTCCATCGGTTTCCTGCTGAGAACCATGGCCTCAGATTTGGAGGTGCTGATCCTCATCCCAGCCGCTTCACACTCGGTTGCGAACCGATCCAGTGAGTGCTGAAGGTCGCAGACCGATGAAGCCATTAGAACCACATCATCTGCAAAAAGCAGTGGTGCAATCCTTAGTCCACCGAACTGCAGACCCCCTCCCCCACGACTATGCCTCGAAATCCGATCCATGTATATTACAAACAGGATTGGTGACAAAGCGCAGCCCTGGCGGAGGCCAACCCTCACCGGAAATGTGTCCGACTTACTGCCGAGGACCCGGACACAGCTCTCGCTTTGGGAGTAAAGAGATTGGATGGCCCTGAGTAGAGACCCCCTCACCCCATACTCCCGCAGCACCTCCCACAGTAACTCCCTGGGAACTCGGTCATACGCCTTCTCCAAGTCTACAAAACACATGTAGACCGGATAAGCGTACTCCCAGGCCCCCTCCAGGATCCTTGCGAGAGTAAAAAGCTGATCCGTCGTTCCACGACCAGGACGGAATCCGCATTGTTCCTCCTCAATCTGAGGTTCGACAATCGGCCTGACCCTCCTTTCGAGTACCTTAGAGTAAACTTTCCCGGGGAGGCTGAGTAGTGTGATGCCTCTGTAATTGGCACACACCCTCTGATCCCCCTTTTTAAAAAGGGGAAGCACCACCCCGGTCTGCCACTCCTTCGGTACTGTTTCCGACTTCCACGCAACGTTGATGAGACGTGTCAACCATGACAGTCCCTCAACACCAAGAGCCTTCAGCATTTCCGGGCGGATCTCATCCACCCCCGGGGCTTTGCCACTGTGGAGTTGTTTGACGACCTCAGTGACCTCCCCCCGGGAGATTGGTGTTGATCTCCCGTCATACTCCAGCTCTGCCTCTAACATAGAGGGCGGAGTTGTCGGGTTTAGGAGTTCCTCAAAGTGTTCCTTCCAACGCCCTAACACTCCATCAGTTGAGGTCAACAACGTCCCATCCTTACTGTACACAGCTTGGATGGTTCCCTGCTTCCCCCTCCTGAGGTGTCGGACAGTTTTCCAGAACAACTTTGGTGCCGCCCGAAAGTCCTTCTCCATGTCTTCTCCAAACTTCTCCCACACCCGCTGCTTTGCCTCGGCCACGGATGAGGCTGCTGCCCTTCGGGCCTGTCGGTACCTTGCAACTGCCTCGGGAGTCCCCCGGGATAACAAATCCCTGAAGGCCTCCTTCTTCAGTCGGACGGCTTCCCTGACCACCGGTGTCCACCAGGAGGTTTGAGGGTTACCGCCCCTTGAGGCACCTAGGACCTTGAGACCACAGCTCCCCGCCGCGGCTTCGGCAATAGAGGCTTTGAACACCGACCACACACGCCGGAGGTGTGAGTTGAAGGCCTCCTGAACTTGGGCCTCCTCCAGACGTTCCCAGTTCACCCGAACTACACGTTTGGGCTTACCAGGTCTATCCAGAGGCTTCCCCCGCCACTCGACCCAACTCACCACCAGATGGTGATCAGTTGACAACTCCGCCCCTCTCTTTACCCGAGTGTCCAAAACATACGGCCTCAGGTCCGATGATACGATAACGAAATCGATCATGGACCTTCTGCCTAGGATGCTCTGGTACCACGTACACTTATGAGCATCCTTATGTTCGAACATGGTGTTTGTTATGGCCAATCCATGACTAGCACAGAAGTCCAGTAACAAAGCACCACTCCGGTTCAGATCAGGGGGGCCGTTCCTCCCAATCACGCCCCTCCAAGTGTCTCCATCATTGCCCACATGTGCGTTGAAGTCTCCCAGCAAGATTAAAGAGTCCCCTTCAGGAGCCCCATACAGGACTCTTTCCAGGGTCTCCAAGAAGGCCGTATACTCTGAACTGCTGTTGGGTGCATAAGCACACACAACAGTCAGAGTTTTCCCCCCCATAACCCGCAGGCGTAGGGAGGCGACCCTCTCGTCCACTGGGGTAAACTCCAACAACGAAGCACCTAACCGGGGACTTGTGAGTATCCCCACACCCGCCCGGCGCCTCACACCTTGAGCAACTCCGGAGAAGAATAGAGTCCAACCCCTATCCAGAAGTAAGGTTCCAGAGCCGACGCTGTGCGTAGAGGTGAGCCCAACCAGATCCAACTGGTAACGCTCCACCTCCCGCACAAGCTCCGGCTCCTTCCCCCCCAGAGAGGTGACGTTCCACGTCCCCAAAGCCAGCTTCTGTCGCCCGGGTCTGGTCCGTCGAGACCCTCCGCTTTCACTGCCACCCTTCTGGCAGCGCACCCGACCCCATCGATGTTTCCCGTAGGTGGTGGGCCCGCGGGACGGAGAAGCGGAGGTGTTGCCCACGTTGCCTTTTCGGGCTGGGCCCGGCCGGGCTACGTGGCAAGCCCGGCCACCAGACGCTCGCCGACGAGTCCTCCTTCTGGGCCTGGCTCCAGAAGGGGACCCCGGGCTTCCTCCGGGCCGGGTATCCTCACTTCTTGTGTCGTCTTTCATGAGGTCTTTTGAACCAATCTTAGTCTGGCCCCTTGCCTGAGACCAATTTGCCATGGGAGACCCTACCAGGAACACAAGGTTCCAGACAACACAGCCCCCAGGTTCATCAGGGCACACAAACCCAATCAATGTCAATGTAAAGTGACCTGCTCCATCGAAATCAGTCGCATTGATCCGAAGACACATTTTGAGTTATATTGGAAAGAGGAGATTCCTAGCTTTCTAATGATATCAGGATTGTTTTTGTAGGCCTACTAGGGCCTATATTAAGCAAAAATATGTCACATTATATAATGACTGTCACCGAGTCATCATTTTGAGAAAAAGGCCTTTAAAGTTTCCTCTTCTCTGGATCGATCTGATTGATTATTAGCGGAGCAAATGATCAAAGTATACGGAGGGAAGATATTTTCGTTTGGATTACTGGTCTGGGGGAAGCTCGCGAGTGTGTGTGTGTGTGTGTGTGTGTGTGTGTGTGTGTGTATGTATGTTTGCGTTTGTTTCCCGGGGAAAACTCTCAGGAGAAACACCGGCTGTTGTTATGCTGGCTGTGACGTCAAGTTACTCCGTTCGCTTGTAATTATGCCGTTAAAAGCTTCAAAGCTTTATCATCTGAATTTGCCGAAACAAGTTTAATATTCTGAAAGCCAAGACTTTGTTTATTTGAAATCAGATGAAAACAAACTGTAACGGACCCTGCGGTGTTATCTATGATTACTATTCTTTCACACACAGTGACGTCACAGCTACCCACAATGCAACGCGCGCCATATATTTTTTTATAAAAACGCCATTTTTCTGGAGGTGCACAAATCCTGGCAATGCTAATATAAACAGCTAGCTTATGTATCCAGGCAGAGTGCACTAGGTTTTTTTTCTGAATTAACGACCGAAGAAATCGCTGCATGTCTTCGGATTACATCTCTGGACTTGAGGGGTGTGCTCTAGGTCGTTACCAGCGTAAACTAGAGCCGTGTGGGTTGTTGGATGTACAATGTATGGAATTACGACCCTCAAAAGTGGCCTTCGGTCGATTTTGGCTGCATCTACGTCTATCTTCTGGAAACACCAGGTGAATACCCCACTTGTCACATTACACACGCCTGTTATCTAACCGACAGGTCCGCACGCACTCTCCAGCTGAAACTCTAATAAGCATTCATTCACAAACTAAATCAGGAGACCTTTCACATTTTACGTCCGATTCGCTCCTTTGTTCCTCGCTGTACACCGCTCCAGTTTGGGCATTGGCCTGTCATCAGATTGTATTTGTTGTTGCTGCTGTAGCGGAAGTTTAGTACAATTATTTTTGATTAAATACTCCAAATCTCCACCCTCCATAATTGCACTTGCTTCAGTTGCTTGCTACTTTCTAACGGCGGTGAGAGTGGTGCAGTGACGCTATCTATCTTCTATCGATTACATTTATGATTCGAAAATTATAAAAGTAGGGTAGACATGTGGATATTATCCGACTGAACAAAACGTGCATTTATCTAACAGGTTCGGTTTCCACTGACCTTATTTCGAGCTATTTTCCAAAATCCTATGGAGAAATCCCATTGCTTGTTTATCGAGGGAAACATGAGGGAAACCGAGCGCAGCTTACTTCCGGATTTTAGGACGCGTCACTGCAACACTAAATTGATGCGATTTGATTGGATTGTGAGGCAAGGGAAACCAGCCGCCTCTGTCTTCCCTTGGCATGGCCCTGACTAATCACAGGTTGGCAGGGGCATGACGTGAGCCTTGTCTGATTGGTTCATCCCTCCATTTTTTTTCACCAAGGGAAGCCAATTTCGGCTGGCCTCCTCTCACAACAATGAGTGCAATCTACTGTTTCACTATAACATCTAGAGGGGCGCTGTTTCACTATTTGTAAAATACTCAATGAGAATGGGGCAGAGATGGACCGGCAGCAACACACAACAAAGAATTTCCGAAACTAAACAAAGTGTTTTTATTTATTTATATAATGTATATAACTACAATCCGAAAAAACAGGGGAAGCCTGGCTTCCCTTGGCCTCCAGGAGAAAACGCCACAAGGACATGTAAGGACAATTGTGTCATCACTGTATGTTGAGAGGGTTCACATGGGATGAGCTGCAGAAATATCTTAGCTAAAGTCACGCGTTTAGGTAACTTTGAAAATGTTAAACATGCATTTATGAAATGTGTGCCAAAGCGTTTATGTGGGTAAGCAATATTTGGTATAGCATATACTTGTTTAGATTCAACTGATTTAAGATTAGGTAAATATCACACAAAAAACCCTCTTGCTTCAAACCAGAAATGTAGATATACAGTATACTACTGTATGGAAACCTGTTATAAATGTTGCATTTTTCTGTTATCAAACCAGGAAAATAGATTTGTTTTCCTTGTTGGATACTCCATTATACAGCCACAAAGTCATAAATGATAATAAGGATTAGCCTGAGATCAACCATACTGATCTATTCTAATAATAGCCAGACAAGATTTATTATCAAAGTGTTCATAATCAGGAAGTAAATAGCGCCTTGGACTTAACTGTGTGATCCTCTAAAGTCTATAAATGAACTGAATTCAAATCTGGGCTTACCTTTTGGAAAAAAAGCACTCCAGCATTTTCTAAAGGCAGAGGGATTTCTGTTGTGACAGCTACAGCAGGCTACTAGGTTTTCGAATGAGGACGTTGCTCTTGATGTCTAACTGTCCTTCCTGTATTGAGCGTGGTGTGTGTCAGACAAGCAAACTGAGCCTTCCAAGCAGACACTCACATCACACCGCTCTGAAAATATACATGTGAGGACACGCAAGTTAAAAAAAGTGTTGGATGTGGTTAACAACAAGAAACACGAGTGTGTTTTGACCGGATGCATTGTGTCAACATGATTGAACCTGCAACTTCATAACCAGTTTCCATATCTTTAAGAAAACATTTAAGCACACTAGCTCTTTCATTCTCACCTGGATTTTTAATATGTTTAACTCAATGTATCTACTGTATTTAATGAAGCTCAACTGAAACCATTTTTGTTTTTTCTTCATCTGAACGTAAAAATGGTTTCCAATGTTGATGTTTAAGTAGCTAAAAGTTGTAGATTTAATAAAAAACTATAGAAAATACATTACATTTGCTTATACAATGAGTCATATGGCAAGTTCAAATCAATATTTAAACATGTTAAACTAATACAATATGCGCAGTCATTTTTCTTCTCTCATCCATTTATTCAGGGACATGAACCAGCATGGCAGTGCTGCATAATAAATCAACATGAGACATAGCGCTCCGCGCTTATCATGCTTATGACGTCACAATGGGACGTACCATTAAACATGGAGTAAGGGTGCACAATGGGACGTACCATTAAACATGGAGTAAGGGTGCTATTACAAAGTAATACTTAACACTCCCACTTAACCTTAACTCTATTGGTTACATGAAAACAAAACAACAATATAATAAGGCTTCTCTTTTGCCTTAAAGGTGGGGTAGGTAAGTTTGAGAAACCGGCTCGAGATACACTTTGTTATATTCCATGGAATGCTCTTAACATCCCGATAGCAATGAATATCTTACAGTAAGTGCTTTGACAAAAAATCCATTAAAAAATGTCATCTGTGGAAGCCGTAGTACTGTAAAAAGCACGACCAATCATTTTAGCCGGCCCGGCTTAAATAACTGGATGGCCTACCTGCCTGTCAGCCTTCCATCTGTGCACAAACTTATCTTGTGCCCTCATTGGTCATGTGCGCGTTTGTGTGTGTAGGAGGAGGGGCTCTGTGAGGAAGTGGCAGATTTTTTCCGGTTGTGTATTTTCAAATTCTAGCACACTCGAGCTGGTTTCTCCAAAATTACCTACCCCACCTTTAACAATGTAAATACACTTGTGCACTTTTAAGTGCCAAACATGTCTTGAGCAAACCTCTTTAGTTGTAGCTTTGTAGCTGGCTTGGTCATGACATCAGCAATCATTAACTCAGTAGGGCAGTACTCCAAAGTTAACTTTCCGTTGTTTACAGTTTCCCTAATGAAATGGTACTTAATATCAATGTGTTTGCTCCTTTGCCTGTTTACTGGGTTTTTGGCAAGGGCTATAGTACATTGGTTGTTCTCGTACACCTTTGTTTGTACATACTGGTATGTGTCTATACCTTTGAGTAGCTGATCTAAATAGATACATTCTTGTATAGCTGATGCTAAAGACATGTATTCTGCCTCACAGGTGGATAATGCCACTGTTGGTTGTTTCTTTGTTTTCCATGAGATCAGAGAGCTTCCTTTACTTAGACTGACACAATATCCTGATGTGCTACGCCTGTCTGTTGCATCTGATGCCCAGTCAGCGTCACAGTACACTTTTAGACCTAGTGCCTCTCTTGTAATTTCTCTTAAAGCATAACTCCTGTTCTGTTGTGCCTTTTAGATATCTGAACACATGTTTTACTATATTCCAATGTTCCTCTGTTGGTTCAGCCAAGTGCTGAGATAGTTTACTGACCACAAAACCTATATTACATTACATTACATTACATTGCATTTAGCTGACGCTTTTATCCAAAGCGACTTACAATAAGTACATTCGACCAGGAAGACACAACCTTGAAGAAAACAGAATCATATAAGTACATCAGGTTTCATAGAGCCAAACATTTCAAGTGCTACTCAACTGGCTTTAGATAAGCCAGTCCTTTATTAGTATATAAGTGCTCTGTTAGCAGTTATTTGTTAGTAATTCTATCGCTCGAGGTGGAGTCGAAAGAGATGAGTTTTCAGTCTGCGCCGGAAGATATATCTGGTCTAGTACATGTGGACAAGTAAATTAAACTTCCCACTGCCTCTCTGTATTTAGTTGGGTCTGTACATTTTTCAGAATCATCTGATTGTTCAAGTTTTGGCTCACATGGGGTCCCCCTGGCCTTGCAATCCTGCATTTCGAACCTCTCTAGGATTTTGCCTATATATTTATTTTGAGACATTTTAACTTCACCTTCTGTTTTGTAAAAATCAATTCCCAGGAAATGTTTCAACTTTCCCAGGTCCTTTATTTTAGAAATGAAAGAAAAGCATAATCTTTACACCTTCCAGTACATTTGTGTTGCTTGCTGCTATGATCAGATCATCAACCCATACAATCATGATTACCTTTTCATCATGTTTCTCTCTTGACACACAATGATTAGCTGGATTCTGTATGAAACCGTTCTCACTCAGACATGTGTGTAACATAGCATTCCAGTTTCTACCTGATTGCTTAAGGCCATAGAAAGACTTTTGCAACTTACAAACTACGTTTTCCCCGGTTCTTGACTTTTCTTCATAGCCTTCTGGTTGCTCCATATAGATTTCACAATCAATGGGTGCATGCAAATAGGCTGCCTTAACGTCCATCTGGTGTAAAATGAGTCCCTCTTGTGCTGCTTTCTGCATGAGTACTCTTACACTTGTCATATCAGCTGTGGGAGAAAATGTCTCTTTGTAGTCTGTTCCTGGTTTTTGACTGTAGCCTTTTGCTACAAATCTTGCCTTGTATTTATCTGATCCATCAATGTCACTTTTGAGTGCATAGACCCAGCTTCCCCCCACTGCCTTTTTACCTGGTGGCAACTGGGTGAGGTGGAAGGTCTCGTTCTCCTCCAGAGATCGCATCTCCTCGTCCATGGCATCCTTCCACTGCCTTGACTTTTCTGACACTATGGCATCACTGTAGGTTTGAGGGATATCACAGACTGCTCTGTAGCAAAAGTCCATGCATGTGTGTGCTTTGTCCTCTGCATCCTCAGTCTCAAAATCCCGTAGATGAGTTGGTATCCTTTCGTTTCTCTGTGGATACCTTTTGGTTACAGTCTCTGTGGCTTTACTCGGCTGTGTACATTCAGTGTCTTCAAGTAAAGTCTCAGGCACACGCATCTGAATACCATGACTTGATACATTTTCTACATTTATATCATTGCCTATGGCCCTGGAGTGTGCATCCTCATGACCACATTCTATGTGTGATTCAGATGTTTGTGTTTCCTTTTCTTTTGCGCTTTTGGTTGTGAATTTCACCAACCTGTGCTTTTGCACCTTCTCTGTTTCTGGGTAATACACCAGATAAGCTGGGCTGTTTTTATCATAGCCAATGAAAACCACTTGCTCACATCTAGAGTCTAGCTTCTCTTTACATTTTTCAACATTTTCTTTAAAAGTTGGCAAGTAATACAAATGTCCACTCTCGTGGAGGTCAAACCTGCTACTGTCCTTGGTAACCATGTGGCTTTCTCCTTTTCTTGATTTCGCTCCTCCATTTGTAGCTCTTGCCACAGAGAAGATGTCATGTGGGTATGTGTGAAGCTGAACGTTGAGCGGCCCGACCAAGCAAGGAGGCAGAGGCAGAACGTCCAAAATACAACCCGGTGTGGGCATTTATTACTCCCGGGCACATGACACAGCCTCAATCTATCTAATCACGTGAGCACAGTCACCAGCCACAAGGATCTCACACACCAAACAAAACAGGAAACACAGAGCCTAAATACCCACACTAATTAACCCAACAGGACACAGGTGAGGGGGGAGGAGACAACACAGGGCACCAGGTGTACACAATCAACAGCAACAGACATGGGGAAAGGGAACACTTTTCAAAATAAAACACGTGCAATATACAAAGCCCGAAGCCGTCAGTCCACAGTGACGAAGCCATCTTCGTCATAGTATGAAGGTATGTACAGTGCATCCTAGGGCTGAACGATATACCGTGTCATGGCGATAACCGCGGGATGCGCATGCGCGGTATTCACACCGCAGGGACGTGCGGTTTTATTCATTTAAAAAAAAAAAATGCTAACGCACTTTAGCACAGAATTCAAAATAAAGATACCCTTATTACTTATCGAAACTGCACATACAATATATCCGATTAAAGCTGAGACTCCACAGATTATTTAAGTATAGTATCTAAGCGATCCGAGCCGCGTTTTTTCTTTCTCGTTTTAATGCCATTGAACACGTCTTTTGATCAGATTGACAGCTACGGTGAGACATCTCCCCTCGAAGCTACGTAAAGGTACGTGTTGTGATGTCTGTGTTTGCTTCCCCTGTCCGAGTTCAGATCACTCAGTGATGATACTATATACCTAAATAATCTGTGGAACCTCAGCTTTAATCGGATATCTTGTAAGTGCAGCTATGATAAGTAATAATAAGGGTACTTTTATCTTGAGTTCTGTGCCAAAGTGCGTTAGCATTTTTTGCTCAGGGGTCATTTAGATGCTTCTTATGAGACTTGTGTTTTGTTTTGGTATAAAATGGTTTGTATCGTCAGTTAGCTGAGATTATTTCCGTTAATCTGGTATAACACATTAATAGGTTCTTAAATATTAAGAGACACTGTCGTGAAAAAAAAAAGTAAAGTACCCGCCGGGACTTTGGGGTTTAACAGGTTAAAAAAAACGCGATATATACCGCAGGGGGGGGGGGGAAACCGCGATGTCAGTTGTTTTCAATACCGTGCAGCCCTAGTGCATCCCGTAGCTGTGCTCTGTGCTGTCGTCCAGTATTGTCTAGCACAGGGGTGCCCAGACCCGGCGCCAGAACAAATCTAAAGGGAGGGCATATGATTTTCATGGGAGGGCACACAACACTGTCACGTGCTGCGGGCCTGTGGCACAATATATATATCAAACAGCAAGGCCAACAGCATTGCGCAACACGCACACT